GTTGTTGTTGTTGTTGTTGACTTCACATTAAACCGCATGTCAGTTGCTAAATGCCAAAATCTAGCAAAGACTTTCAGCCCCTGGTCACGAAAGTGCTAGAGCCATCTGAGGATATAAAGAACACGTAGACATATAACGAGAAAAAGGTATCCAAGAGCCCGAAGATGTACACCTAAAAAATCCCTGCAGCACCGTATGCATGCGTGCACGTCCGTCCCACCGTTCGACTACAGTAGCATCACCCCCTCCCTGTCCCACTCTATACCAAAACGGAAGATTGCCGACTACTACAGCATACTGCTGTCTGAAGTGCTGTCTGTACAAAAACACCATGGTAGGCATGGAACAAGCAGCTGGCGGGGCAAAAAGCTGCTGTCTGAAGTGCTGTCAGGATGTGTCTGCGGCCGTACAGTGAAAAAGAACAACCAACCAAAGCCATCATAGCAGCAATTGACAATCACCCGAATCTCTCCCGATCGTCTGTGTTAGGCACTGCAGTGAAAAATATCGACACTAGCTAAGAATCGTTCCACATTGAAGGGGTCTTCCACGATCAGGCACAAAACCAATGCACCCGGGTTAGCCACGCCATCTCTGACGGGTCTCTCTACAAAACCGGTGACGACGTCATCACACAAAACCAACACGGAAAGTCAGAAAAAAAATGAAAAAAATTGACAACACAGATAGAAATGTTTGTCCGTGCGCCACGGGTCGATGTCGCCCGCATGCTCCGGTGCCATTGCTCCATCCGGCGCCGCTGTAGTCAGCCCGAGCAAAACGCCACTCGACCTGCTCCTTCCGTACACGCCCTCGTTGCTGTCCTTCCCAGTCCGTTCCTCGCTTTCTCCCTCATTGCACTCAAGGTTCTTGGTCTGAAAAAAATAAAAATTCTCGCGCCGAATGGTCAACCAGCCTAGTTCAGCTCGTCGCCACCTGCTCCCTCCTCCTTTGATGGCGAAGCCAGGTTACTGAGGCAATACAGCTCCCTCTAGCAAACCTAGGGCCGTGTAGTGCCCGTCCACCTTTCCACCTTTCTGATGGTGTCTGG